CGGGGTGGGGGTTTTGGTCCGTGCACCTACGTCCTGCGCACCGGCGACCGTGCGGGTGAGCAGTGTGGGGGTTTGCACCCCACCCAGCGCTTCTTTGGCCGCCTGACGGACGCGTGGCGTCACCAGTTTCCTGAGGCCACACAGATCCCTTGTTGGGGCGAGCTGTCTAGGGCGGGAGTTGCCATCTATGATCTTGATTTTGATGCTATTCTGTCTGCCATGTATTCTGTCACTATTAGTGATGAGGGTGATTGTTACCGGTGTTTCCCGCCCGATCCGGGCATTGAGACTGCTGCTCTAGGTACTGGTGCGGCTGCTGCCCTAGGTGCTTGCGACGCTGCTGCTCTAGGTGCTAGTGCGTCTGCGTCCTCAGGTACTGGTGAGTCTGCGCTCTCAGGTACTGCGTCGGCTTCGGCCTCCCTCACCTTCACCCTTGACTCAAGAGCTTCTCGCTCCTTCTTTCGGGACCGCACCACAATAACGCCGCTTAGTCGGCCCATTGCAGTGTCTCTCGCTGACCCCTCTGGGGGTCCTGTCCTGTCTCACTTCTCCACAGTCCTCCCGTGTCCGGCGGCTCCCTCTGGCACCCTGTCTGGTCTCTACCTCCCCTCGTTCTCTACGAACTTGGTGAGTGGTGCTGACCTACAGGATGGGGGAGTGCACCAGTTCACTCCTGCGCGTCAGCGAGTGACGCACTGCACAGAGGCTCGCATAGGCCAACACTTGGCTACGTTTACACGTCAGCCGGGGTCGAGCCTGTACACACTAACCACTGCGTCTCCTCCAGATGCTGAGTCTGGTAGGCTAGCTACGTCAGGTCTGGTGTTTGCTGCAGCGTCCAGGTCTGGTCCTGAGTCTGCCCCCTGTTCGTGTCGTCTCCTCTCTCACGAGACTCTCCTCTGGCACCACCGCCTTGGTAACCCCTCTCTGCTTCGGCTCAGAGGCATGGCCTCTCGTCTCCTTGTTTCTGGTCTCCCCAGGTCCCTCCCTCCCCTTCCTCAGGGGCCTGGCCCTTCCTGTGTCCCCTGTGTCGAGGGGCGCCAGAGGGCTGCCCCTCACTCCTCCCAGTTTCTTCTAACAGAGGCCCCGCTGCAGACGCTTCACATGGACGTGTGGGGCCCGGCCCGCGTCCGTGGACAGGGTCACGAGCGCTACTTCCTGCTCGTTGTTGACAACTACTCGCGTTACACCGCAGTCTTCCCCTTGCGCAGCAAGGGTGATGTCACTGAGGTGCTGATCGACTGGATACGCGCAGCTCGTCTCCACCTCCGTCAGAGCTTTGGCTCGAACTTTCGTGTTCTACGTCTGCACTCAGACAGAGGCGGAGAGTTTTCCTCTAGCCTTCTGAGAGCCTACTGTTGCGCACGAGGCATCCGTCAGACCTTCACGCTTCCGGACTCTCCGCAACAAAATGGGATCGCTGAGCGCCGCATTGGCATGGTCATGGACGTCGCTTATACGTCCATGATGCATGCGGCTGCCCCCCATTTTGCGTGGCTGTTTCCGGTGAGGTACGCGGCGCATCAGATCAACCTCCACCCCAGGGTCTCCAGGCCGAAGACCTCCCCAGCCTTGCTTTGGATGGGGAAGGTTGGCGATGCGTCGGCGTTCCGGGTCTGGGGATCTCGGGCGTTTGTCCGCGACTTGTCTGCGGACAAGCTGTCCCCTTGTGCTGCTCCTTGCGTCTTCCTGGGGTTCCCCCCTGACGCGCCTGGGTGGCAGTTCTACCACCCCACCTCTCGCCGTGTTCTGTCCTCCCAGGACGTCACGTTTGACAAGTCGGTCCCCTACTACCACCTCTTCCCCTACCGCACTCCATCCCTCCCCCCGCCCCCGCTCTTCCTTGTCCTAGGTCCCCCCCCGGTAGACACCCTCCCCCCTCAGGGTCCTGCCCCTTCAGGTGTGTCCCAGGTAGACGCAGTTTAGCCTGTCGAGGTTACTGGTGACTCTGGTGCTGCCGAGGGTGCTGAGCCTGGGGGTGCTGAGACTGGGGGTGCTGAGCCTGGGGGTGCTGCGACTGGGGGTGCTGAGCCTGGGGGTGCTGAGCCTGGAGGTGCTGCGACTCGGGGTGCTGAGCCTGGGGGTGCTGAGCCTGGGGGTGCTGCGACTAGGGGTGTTGAGCCTGGGGGTGCTACGCCTGGGGGTGCTGTGCCTGGAAGTGCTGAGCCTGGGGATGCTGAGCCTGAGGGTGCTGAGCCTGGATGTGCTACGCCTGGAGGTCCTCCGGAAGCTTCGTCTCACCGGGAGCCACTCTCTCCACCGGAGCTGCGCGAGTGGTTTGCCCGGCGCTGGAGGCGTGCTGCTGGAGCTGGAGGTTCTTCGGCTGCTGAGGATGCTGGTGCCGCGGGTCTCGGAGGCGCTCGTACTGGGAGTACTGGAGCTGCTGGGCGTGTGGGCTCGACTGGAGCTGGTGCTGCTGCGGGCGTTGGTGCTGAGCCTACTGCTCGCGGTCCTGCTAGGGGTACTACTGGTGCTGCTGGAGGTTCTAAAGCTACTGGAGGTACTGCTGGAGCAGGTGCTCCTGCTGGGGGTACTGGTGCTGTCCCTGCTGTGTCTGGCGTCGCCGCGCGGCCTCAACCGTACTTCATTCCACTCCTGCACCAGGTTCTTGGTCTTCCACCTTCTACAGGTCCTCCTCCTTCTTTAGAGTGTCCACAGCGTGTCCCGTCACAGCTACAGTTACAGCCTGCCTCCCCACTACCTGCTCCCTCTCCCTACACTGGTCCTACTGGAGGTCTTGTTGAGCGTCGTGAGCCTGCGCCTGGTCCTGCGTCGCCTGTTCGTGCTGCTCGCACTAGTGGTCGCGGTTCGCGTCAGCGTCCTCCTCCTGTCCCTGGCACGCACCACATGTCTCTGCGTCCGTCCACTGCTCCTCTTCGTGCCCCTTTGCCTTCTCCTCCTGCGTCCTCTCTTCCTACTCTTGCCGACCCGGAGTCGGACTCTCTTCGTGCTGCCAGTCCTACTATCACGCGTCTCCTTGCTACTGTCGTCACTGACCCTTCTTTCGAGTCCACTACTGCGTCTGCCCTAGTTACTGAGCTCGTCGACTTTGCTGCTCGCTGTCGCCTAGACTACGATGCTAGTCTTGTCGCTGAGTCTGAGTCTGTCTGTCCTCCGTCCGTCCGGGGTGAGTGTGCCCTTGGCACGGACGTCCTTGAGAACAGGCAGGAGGAGTTCCAGTGCTTGGCCGCTGCTTCACCTCATCTCGTGTCCGTACTGCTTACCCCTGAGGTAGACCCGGATGCACTTGACATCCCGACTCCGCGCTCTTACGCGGAGGCGATAGATGGTCCCTACTCTTCTCAGTAGCAGGCAGCTATGGATGCAGAGATGGCTTCCTAGAAGTCCACAGGCACCTACGTTGACGCTGTCCCCGCTCGTGGGGCGAACATCGTTAGTGGCATGTGGATTTTCAGGGTGAAGCGGCCGCCGGGTTCTCCGCCTGTCTTCAAGGCACGGTACGTGGCTCGTGGCTTCAGTCAGTGGCAGGGAGTTGACTACTTTCAGACCTTCTCTCCCACCCCGAAGATGACCACTCTTCGGGTACTACTGCACGTTGCTGCTCACCGTGACTACGAGCTGCACTCTCTCGACTTCAGCACAACTTTCTTGCAGGGCAGCTTGCACGAGGAGATCTGGCTGCGCCGCCCACTTGGCTTCACTGGGTCGTTCCCTCCAGGTACCAAGTGGAGTCTCCGGCGTCCAGCCTACGGTCTCCGCTAGGCGCCCCGTGAGTGGCACGACACACTGAGGACTACACTTGCGGCTCTTGGGTTTGCTCCTTCTACTGCCGACCCGTCGCTGTTTCTGCGCACCGACACCTCTCTTTCGCCTTTCTACATCCTCGTGTACGTCGACGACTTGGTCTTTGCCACTGGTGACACTTCTGGACTCGCCTACGTGAAGTCCGAGCTACAGAAGAGACACACGTGCACTGACCTGGGTGAACTGCGCAGCTACCTTGGCTTGCAGATCATCCGGGACAGAGCACGCCGCACCATTACCCTGACTCAGTCACACATGGTGCAGCAGGTCCTTCAGCGCTTTGGCTTCACGTACTCCTCGCCTCAGGCCACTCCTCTGCCTACTCGCCACTCACTCTCAGCTCTGCCTTCGGATGAGTCCGTAGAGTCGAGTGGCCCGTATCCAGAGCTTGTTGGCTACCTCATGTACCTGATGACCTGCACACGACCTGACCTTGCATACCCTCTTAGCATTCTCGCACGCTATGTTGCTCCTGGGAGACACCGACCAGAGCACATGGCTGCAGCGAAGAGGGTGTTGCGCTACTTGTGCAGTACGTCGGGCATGGGGCTAGTGCTTGGAGGGCGCAGTCCAGTGGTCCTCACTAGGCACGCAGACGCTTCCTGGGCTGACGACCAGGCTACACAGTGGTCGTCACAGGGTTACACCTTCAGTCTTGGTTCCGGCTCTGTCTCGTGGCGGGCTACTAGCTCGTCTTCTGTTCTCAGCTCCAGTTGTGAGGCTGAGATCTACGCTGGGGCCATGGCTGCACAGGAGCTTTGCTGGCTCACCTATCTGCTGACCGACCTTGGAGAGTCGCCTCGTTCTCCTCCAGTTCTGTACGTAGACAACAAGGCCATGCTGGCCTTGTGTCAAGAGCAGCGACTGGAGCATTGAACGAAGCACATCGCTCTCCGCTACTTCCTTGCTCGTGAGCTACAGCAGAGTGGACAGTTGCGGCTTGCGTACGTGGCCTCTGAGGCCAACACTGCTGATGTTTTCACCAAGGCACTTGCGCGTTGTGATCATCAGCGCTTCTGCACTCAGCTGGGTCTTGTCCCTGTCTTGCCTCACTTGCTCACCTCTTGACCTTGCTTGTACTGTTACATATATATGTACCTGCTCTTGCTTGTCTACTTTTGTATATATATGTACTCTGAGAAGAATTGAACGAGAATGAAATGAGTATGAACGAAGTGAGTACAAATAGGAAACCCTAATTGTGTTGTACCCCCTATGGGATACCCCACTATAGCCTACACAAACAAGTAAGCTATATGTTCTGACACACCCCCATAGGCAAAGTGGGGGAGAACAAGGGGTCACAAGACCAGTCAAGCAAAGCAAAACAAAGCTCAGGGTGGATCACAAAGTCACCACGCATTCCGAGCACAAGTTCAAAGGCCACAAGGCCAGTTCACATGCAAGATCATATATAGAGGTATACAAGAGTCAAGCAAGCAAGAGCAAGAGTATATATATGCGAAGGTACAAGCAAGGTCAAGAGGAGAGCAAGTGAGGCAAGACAGGCACAAGACCCAACTGCGTGCAGCAACGCTGATGATCACAAGGCGCAAGTGCCTTGGTGAAGACATCAGCAGTGTTGGCCTCAGAGGCCACGTACGCAAGTCGCAGCTGTCCACGCTGCTGTAGCTCACGAGCAAGAAAGTAGCGAAGAGCAATGTGCTTCGTTCTGTGCTCCAGTCGCTGCTCTCGACACAAGGCCAGCATGGCCTTGTTGTCTACGTACAGGACTGGAGGAGAACGAGGCTGCTCTCCAAGGTCGGTCAGCAGGTAGGTGAGCCAGCGTAACTCCTGTGCAGCCATAGCCCCAGCGTAGATCTCAGCCTCACAACTGGAGCCGAGAACAGAAGACGAGCGGGTAGCCCGCCACGAGACAGAGCCAGAACCAAGGCTGAAGGTGTAACCCTGTGACGACCGCTGCGTAGCCTGGTCGTCAGCCCAAGAAGCGTCTGCGTGCCCAGTGAGGACCACTGGACTGCGCCCTCCAAGCACTAGCCCCATGCCCGACGTACTGCACAAGTAGCGCAACACCCTCTTCGCTGCAGCCATGTGCTCTGGTCGGTGTCTCCCAGGAGCAACAAAGCGTGCGAGAATGCTAAGAGGGTATGCGAGGTCAGGTCGTGTGCAGGTCATCAGGTACATGAGGCAGCCAACAAGCTCTGCAAACGGGCCACTCGACTCTACGGACTCATCCGAAGGCAGAGCTGAGAGTGAGTGGCGAGTAGGCAGAGGAGTGGCCTGAGGCGAGGAGTACGTGAAGCCGAAGCGCTGAAGGACCTGCTGCACCATGTGTGACTGAGTCAGGGTAATGGTGCGGCGTGCTCTGTCCCGGGTGATCTGCAAGCCAAGGTAGCTGCGCAGTTCACCCAGGTCAGTGCACGTGTGTCTCTTCTGCAGCTCGGACTTCACGTAGGCGAGTCCAGCAGTGTCAGCTGTGGCAAAGACCAAGTCGTCGACGTACACGAGGATGTAGAACGGCGGCAGAGAGGTGTCGGTGCGCAGAAACAGCGACGGGTCGGCAGTGGAAGGAGCAAACCCAAGTGCCGCGAGCGTAGTCCTCAGTGTGTCGTGCCACTCACGTGGCGCCTGGCGGAGACCGTAGACTGGACGCCGGAGGCTCCACTGGGTACCAGGAGGGAAAGACCCAGTGAAGCCAGGTGGGCGACGCAGCCAGATCTCCTCGTGCAGGCTGCCCTGCAAGAAAGCTGTGCTGAAGTCGAGAGAGTGCAGCTCGTAGTCACGGTGAGCAGCAACGTGCAGCAGAACCCGAAGAGTGGTCATCTTCGGGGTGGGGGAGAAGGTCTGAAAGTAGTCAACCCCCTGCCGCTGACTGAAGCCACGAGCCACGTAACGCGCCTTGAAGACAGGCGGAGAACCCGGCGGCCGCTTCACCCTGAAAATCCACATGCCACTGACGATGTTCGCCCCAGGAGGGGGAACAGCGTCAACGTAGGTGCCTGTGGACTTCCAGGAAGCCATCTCTGCATCCATAGCTGCCTGCCACTGAGAGGAGTAGGGACCCTCTATTGCCTCCGCGTAAGAGCGCGGAGTCGGGATGTCTGGTGCATCCGGGTCTCCCTCAGGGGCTAGCAGTACAGACGCAAGACGAGGTGAAGCGGCGGCCAGACACTGGAACTCCTCCTGCCTGTCCTCAAGGACGTCCGTGCCAAGGGCACACTCACCCCCGACGGACGGAGGACAGGCGGACTCAGACTCAGTGACAAGACGAGCAGCGTAGTCTAGACGACAGCGCGCAGCAAAGTCGACGAGCTCAGTGACAAGGGCGGACGCAGCAGACGACTCGAAGGAGGGGTCAGTGACAGCAGTAGCCAGGAGACGCGTGACAGTAGGACTGGCAGCACGAAGAGAGTCCGACTCCGGGTCGGCAAGAGCAGGAAGAGGGGAAGCAGGAGGAGAAGGCAAAGGGGCACGCAGAGGAGCAGTGGAGGGACGCAGTGACATCCGGTGCGTGCCAGGGACAGGAGGAGGACGCTGACGCGACCCGCGACCACTAGCGCGCTCAGTACGAACAGGCGACACAGGACGAGACGCAGGCTCACGACGCTCAGTAAGACCTCCAGTCGGACCAGTGTAGGGAGAAGGAGCAGGCAAAGGGGAGGCAGGCTGTAGCTGTGGCTGTGACCGGACAGGCTGCGGACCCTCTAAGGGAGGAGGAGGAGGTGTAAGACCAAGAACCTGCTGCAGGAGCGGAACGAAGTACGGTCGGGGCCGCGCGGCGACGCTAGAAACAGCAGGAACAGCACCAGCAGCCCCGGCAGGAGCACCCACTCCAGCAGCACCTCCAGCAGCACCACCAGAAGCTCCAGAACCCCCAGCCGCAGCACCAGGAGCACTGTCAGTCGGACCGCCAACGGCAGGCTCAGCGCCAACACCCTCAGCAGGACCAGCTCCAGGAGAACCCTCAGACCCAGCAGCTCCAGCACCCACAGTACGAGCACCGGCGGGACGCGCGGCAGCAGGACCCTCTGCAGCCGAAGAACCACCCGCACCAGCAGCACGCCTCCAGCGCCTGGCAAACCACTCACGCAGCTCCTGTGGGGAGAGTGGCTCCCGGCGAGACGAAGCACCCCCAGGCACAGCACCTCCAGGCTCAGCACCCCCAGGCTCAGCACCCCCAGGATCAGCACTCCCAGACTCGGCACCTCCAGGCTCAGCACCCCCAGGCACAGCACCCCCAGGCTCAGCACCCCCAGGCTCAGCACCCCCAGACTCGGCACCTCCAGGCTCAGCACCCCCAGACTCCGCACCCCCAGGCTCAGCTCCCGCAGCAGCACCAGAGTCACCAGTGACCTCGACAGGCTCGACCGCGTCTACCTGGGACACACCTGAAGGGGCAGGACCCTGAGGGGGGAGGGGGACTACCGGGGGGGGACCTGGTACCAAGAAGAGCGGGGGTGGGGGGAGGGACGGAGTGCGGTAGGGGAAGAGGCGGTAGTAGGGTACCGACTCGTCGAACGTGACGTCCTGGGAGGACAGAACACGTCGAGAGGTGGGGTGGTAAAACTGCCACCCAGGGGCGTCGGGGGGGAACCCCAGGAAGACGCAGGGAGAAGCACGAGGGGACAGCTTGTCCGCAGACAGGTCGCGAACAAACGCCCGAGATCCCCAGACCCGGAACGCCGACGCATCGCCAACCTTCCCCGTCCACAGCAGGGCTGGGGAGGTCTCCGGTCGAGAGACCCTGGGGTGGAGGTTGATCTGGTGCGCAGCGTAACTGACCGCAAACGGCCACAGAAAATGGGGAGCAGCCGCATGCATCATGGACGTACGAGCGACGTCCATGACCATGCCAATGCGGCGCTCAGCAATCCCATTCTGCTGTGGTGAGTCCGGAAGCGTGAAGGTCTGACGGATGCCTCGCGCACGACAGTAGGCACTCAGGAGGCCAGAGGAGAACTCTCCGCCTCTGTCCGAGTGCAGACGTAAAACAGGGAAGTCAGAGCCAAAGCTCCTCCGAAGCTGGAGACGAGCTGCGCGGATCCAGTCGATCAACACCTCAGTGACCTCACCCTTGCTGCGCAAGGGGAAGACTGTGGTGTAACGCGAGTAGTCGTCAACCACCAGCAGGAAGTAGCGCTCCTGACCCTGTCCACGGACGCGGGCTGGGCCCCACACGTCCAGGTGAAGCGTCTGCAACGGGGCCTCTGTCGGAGGAAACTGGGAGGAGTGAGGGGCAGCACGCTGGCGCCCCTCGACACAGGGGACACAGGTGGGGCGAGGGCCCGGAGGAAGGGGAGGGAGAGACCGGGGAAGACCAGACACAAGGACTCGCGAGGCCATGCCTCTGAGCCGAAGCAGAGAGGGGTGGCCAAGGCGGTGGTGCCAGAGGAGGGTCTCGTGAGACAGACGACGACACGAGCAGGGGGCAGACTCAGGACCAGACCTGGACGCTGCAGCAAACACCTGACCAGACGAAGGGACCCTACCAGACTCAGCACCTGGAGGAGAAGCAGTGGTCAGTGTGTAGAGGCTCGACCCTGGCCGACGTGTAAACGTAGCCAGGTGGCGACCTGTATCCGCCTCCGTGCAGTGGGTCACCCGCTGACGAGCAGGGGTGAACTGGTGGACACCCGCATCCTGGAGGTCAGCACCACTCACCAAGTTCGTCGAGAACGAGGGGAGGTAGAGACCAGTCAGGGTGCCAGAGGGGGCCGCCGGACACGGGAGGACAGTGGAGAAGCGAGACAGGACAGGCCCCCCAGAGGGGTCAGCCAGGGACACCGCAACCGGCCGACTCAGCGGCGTGAGAGTGGTGCGGTCCCTAAAGAAGGAGCGAGACGCTCCAGAGTCAAGGGTGAAGGTGTGAGAGGCCGAAGCCGACACAGTACCTGAGAGGGCAGACTCACCAGTACCTGAGAGCACAGACGCACTGGCACCTAGAGCAGCAGCCTCACTAGTACCTGACGCGGCAGTACCAATGCCCGGGTCAGGCGGGAAACACCGGTAACAGTCATCCTCATCACTACCAGTCACAGCATACATAGCAGAGAGAATAGCATCAAAATCAAGATCATAAATAGCTACACCAGCCCTAGACAGCTCTCCCCAGCGGGGGATCTCAGCGGCCTCCGGAAACTGCTGACGCCAGGCGTCGGTCAGGCGGCCAAAGCAGCGGCGGGCTGTGTGGGCGCCTCCACACCTCTCTCCTGCACGGTCACCTGTGCGAAGAACGTAGGGGCAGGGACCAAGCGCACCACCACGCTGACGCTGCAAGTACCACTCACGGAGCTGCTGAGGGCCGGGGACGGTGCGAGAGCGCTGCTGCTGCTGTGGCTGCTGCTGCGGCTGCTGCTGCTGCTGCTGCTGCTGCTGCTGCTGGCGCTGACCACCCCCAGAGCTGCTCCGCTGGGACGAGCCACTCCGACCCCCGCCTCCACCGCCACCCCCGCCTCCACCGCCACCCCCGTCTCCTCCGCCACCTCCCCCACTAGGACCGTCGCTCCCACCGCTCCCACCGCCTCCTCCGCTACCACCTCCGCCGCCACCTCCGCCTCCACCGCCGCCACCAGTACCTCCACTCCCGCCACCACCCCCACCGCCACCCCCACTCCCCCCGCCACCCCCACCGCCTCCTCCACCGCCCCCTCTAGTTCCACCCGCTCCCTTGCCCCCTTTGCCCTTGCCAGAGCGGCGTCTGCCGCTGGGGGCAGACGCCGCGCCGACCGACTCAAAACCAGTGAGGTCGGCCGCAGCGGCAGAGGCGACAGAGGGCAGCAGGGGGGAAGGACCACACCCCTCAAAGATGGGGGTGCGAGGGTCACCCCGAGAGGCCCCTACAGCGACAATACTCTTCTCAGCCGCTAGCAGGGACTCCTCAAGGAGATCGACAGTGAGAGTGGTGGGACAGACAGAGAGAAACTGGTCCCTAACGGCACGAAGGGACTCAGGGAGACGGGTGACGAGAAAGTAGAGAGTGATGTACATGGGAGGAGGGTTCGCAGCGCGGAACTCAGCAGGAAGGGCAGCGCGGTAGCGGGTGTCACTAGCACGGAGGTGGGTAACGAGGTCAGCAACAGTGGGAAAGGAGGCGAGGTCAGGGAAGAGAAACGGTAGCATGAGGCGGCTAAGGGTAGCGGAGGAAGGGGAGGAGTAGCGTGCAACTACAGCGTCGTACAAGGCCTGAGCGGTCTTGCACTGACTAAAGTGGGCACGCTCAGAGGAAGGGAGGTGGCGACGCACAGCAAGACGTGCAGCAGCATCGCGGGTCGCCCACTTGGAGCGAACGGCAGAGTCAGCATCAGCAGGTGGGGCAGGGACAGCGCCAGAGACAAAGTCAAAGAGAGAGACCTCATCTATCGCATCACAGAGTAAGTACAGCTGCAGGTCTTCAATCCAGACGGCAAAGTCAATGGCCCTCCCCTCAGCGTCAAAAGTAAGGACATTGGGGGTGGCCATGGCAGCAGCTGAAAGTCTCACCGGGCTGGGAGAGTCGGGTAGTGCAGCAGCAGAGGAACACAGCTCAGGGACAGCGGCACGGCTCGGGCGGCTCGGGTTGCTGGGGCGGCGCGGGCGGCTCGGGCGGCTCGGGCGGCTCGTGCGGCTCGGGCGGCTCGGGCGGCTGGGGCGGCTCGGGCGGCTCGCGCGGCTCGGGCGGCTCGGGCGGCTCGGGCGGCTCGGGTTGCTGGGGCGGCGCGGGCGGCTCGGGCGGCTGGGCTGTACGGGCGGCTCGTGCGGCGCTGGTGTCGCGACGGGCGGCTCACTGGCGGCTCGCGGGCGGCTGCACAGGCGGCTCAGGGACGGCGGCGCGGGCGGCGCAGGGAGCTCACGGGCGGCTGCGACGGGCGGCTCGCGGGCGTCGGGCGCTAGGGCGTTGGGGCGACGGCGGGCGGCGCTCAGGCGTTCGGGCGGGCGGCCGTAAGGGTGAAAGGGCGGGCGGCGCTCGGGCGCTAGGGCGGGCGGCCGGCCGTCAGGGCGCTCGGGCGAGTGGCGCACGGGCGCTAGGGCGGGCGGCCGTCAGGGCGCTAGGGCGAGCGGCGCTCGGGCGCTAGGGCGGGCGGCCGTCAGGGCTCTAGGGCGGGCGGCGCTCGGGCGCTAGGGCGGGCGGCGCTCGGGCGCTAGGGCGGGCGGCGCTCGGGCGCTAGGGCGGGCGGCGCTCGGGCGCTAGGGCGGGCGGGGCTCGGGCGCTGGGGCGGGCGGCCGTCAGGGCGCTAGGGCGGTTGGCGCTCGGGCGCTAGGGCGGACGGCCGTCAGGGCGCTAGGGCGGGCGGTCGTCAGGGCGCTAGGGCGGGCGGCCGTAAGAGGAGGGAGCAGCGGGAGCGCGACGGTAGGGGCGACACGCAGGGTCGCTAAAAAAAAAAAGAGCGCGCGCCTCGGGGCGCGCTTCGGTGGGCCCTAGGAACAGTCCCTAGGAGGGGACCTGCTCTGATTCCATGAGAAGAATTGAACGAGAATGAAATGAGTATGAACGAAGTGAGTACAAATAGGAAACCCTAATTGTGTTGTACCCCCTATGGGATACCCCACTATAGCCTACACAAACAAGTAAGCTATATGTTCTGACATACTCCTGCATGTGAACTGACCTTGTGGCCTTGAACTTGTGCTCGGAATGTGTGGTGACTTTGTGATCCACCGTGGGCTTGCTTTGCTTTCCTTTGTTTTACTGGTCTTGTGACCCCTTGTTCTCCCCCACTTTGCCTATGGGGGTGTGTCAGAACATTAGAGCTTCTGCTTTTGTGTAGGCTATAGTGGGGTATCCCATAGGGGGTACAACCCAATTAGGGTTAGTAGTTGTACTCAGTTCATTCATAGTTCATTCATTCTCGTTCATATTTTCTCAGTTCATAATATTCTCTTTAAACGCTTCCGCTACTACATCACTCTACCCAGAGATTTACCCTACCAAAGATCCTAAGGGGCTTTTCAACCCAATAATAAGTACTGGTGGAACTGCACATATTTTGGGCCAGAGAGTCCGTTGCCGTAAATCGGTTTGGAGTACATACAGGTGGTGTGGTTTCAGTGGCAATATCTCTTATTAGCACTTTTATTGGCCCCTTGCTGATTGTGCTCTCCTGGCATATTCTCCGAGGTCACTGGTGGTGGGGCCTTTCCTGATTATGTCTGGAGCACTTGTCTGGCAGTGATTTGCTGACTATGACTTGTTATTTGTTATGGTATTTGTTCTTGTAGCATACCTTCTCCCATTAGATGTGTTTGTTTTTGTATGAGTGTTCCCATTTTGGATAAAGTACCAACAAAAACCATGTGGCGTTGGTTTTTTTTGCAGAAGCATGGATTTCAATGGAGGCCAAGGAGCGCAACCAGTGGTTAGAACATCTATTGAAGTGAGATAAGGGTATGAATAGTGGGAAGATGCAACAGGGCGTGGGATTGGAGCATGGTGAAATGAACAGAGCAGATTATGGTAGGAAGTGGAAAAAATAAGTACTACGGTATCTCAATTGAGACACATGCATAACCTATAGGCATTGGAACTTATACATTCGGCTACGCTTGTAATTACGGTTCGAAACTAATTTTATTTCTAACGGCACTCCTTTCGTCGCATCCCAAACCAAGCCACGTCACAAACGCCCTGACAGAGTGTTGAACGCCCCTGATACCCTCCCTCACAGCTGGAACTTTGGCAGCGTCAGGCAGTCCAGCTGTGGGATAGGTTGTTGGGGTTAGGGCGCATTCCTATATCGTGTCAGACCGAAGTGTAGTTTGGAGGGGGTCGGAAGACCCGAAGTGGTTCACTTCGGTTGTTCCAAACATTGATTTGACAGAGTTCCAGGTCACTTCGAGTCTTCCTCAACTCACTTCGTGTCTGACCTCAAGTCAGACACGAGCCAAGAAATGGCTCTTAGATCCGACAGATGTCAGCTCAGAATGTCAGTTTCCCGTCTCACAGGGAGACCTGACTCGTTGTTCCCAGGTTAGATGGCTGTCCGAATATGATTTCGAGTGCTATCTTGAGGATTTACACCATTGCGGCAGGAAGCTATGGACAGAAACGACCGCATCGTGATGCAATGTAAACATATGTAAGAAGGCCTAATTGTCCATACCCGGTCGTAGAGAGGAGAGTCGATCAAGCAAACACGAGGAGTCTAGAGCGCACAATTGAAAATACCCCCTTCAACCAGTAGACCACGCACCGGGCATGAGTGTTGACAAATCGCAAGTGAAACTGAGTTTTTCAACACTCAGTTTCAACCTATAGATCATAGTAGACCCGTTTGAACCTTGACAGGATGTGGGGTGTTCCATATGAGTGTGCGGATGCTCTAGGGTGGATGGAAAATGAAAATTTTAGGCTGCGGAACCGTTTGACTCGCGAACTTAGTTTGTTTGTTTTGAGGATTAGTTTGTTTTCTCAACAGAGAAACCCCAGGCCAGGAGGATCCGATGGGCAGACCACGACTGATGTCGATACACACTGTGACCTGTCCTGTCCGCTCATTATGTCGGATTCGAAGGTGATTGGTCCGATGAGGAGCAGGCAGCCTGAGGGTTCATCCGCGAGAACATACTACAGAACTCAGCCTGTCACTGTCGTGCCGGGAGAACACGCCACAGACCTTCAGGCAACCGACAATCCTGCCCCTTGTCCGACAAGTCGAGAAGGGGGACGGAGAGGGGGAAGAGGAGGGTGCGCGCGAGGGAAGGAGCAACCAACCACCACCACCTCCAGCACAGCGTTCCCTCAGGTTTCCTGCCGAATCACATCGCACCAACCCAGCCAACCAGCCAACCACAGAGCAGACAACCAAAACCACCTTCGTCCCATCCATGCCTTGTTCGAATTTGAATGCCCTTCCAGCTTCGACCCAGCCTGATGCACCTTGGGAAATTTTGTGTGGTGTGGGGCGGATGGACCTTCACTATGGATCGCGATTTTTTGCGGTTTACAAGCTTCCATTACAATGTCTAGGTGTTGAGTACGGTACGTGGGACAAAACTCGCAAACAAGGTTTTTGTGTAGTGGGTTCGGGTAGGAAGACAAGGGCATTTTGGCAGTGAGTCAACGCATCAGACAGACCAGCCCAACAACCTCACCTGAGGCTAGGTGACGCTTTGCTCCTCCCCTCACCTCACCCATTCCCGTGTGCTCCTCTTGTCGGCTATTTTATCCACGTCGTCTCTTTCAGGCCGTACTTCTCATCTTTCGCACTTCTTCATATTTAGTTTGGTCCATCCTCCCTAGGATACCTGTGTGTACGTTTGTCACATCCCTCACCCCATAGTGGACTTACCTGAGTACCCAACTGTCCTTCTCCAAACTCTTAGTTCGTGATGGCTCGTCTGTCGAGTCAGCGGCATGTAGCAGTATCACCTAGAGTGCTACTACTTCTCGCAATCACCGCATGCAGCGCCGCTCTCGCCGCGACAGAGGCCGCCGAAATCCGCACGCAATTTGAAATCGCGATGATGGAAACCCTTTCAATGTCCGCCGAGGAGCGCATGCAGCTAAACGCAGCGAGACTCGGCCGAGCAATGCTACAACGAAACGACGACGTCGATGACGTCGACGATAATGACAACGGCGATGCGGAAGAAGCGGCTGGGGAGCCGCATTCGCGGTGTCGCGGGCTTAAAGATGGCGGAAGGGGGAAGCAGCTCGGTCTCAACCCGCCGCCTCTTAACTCGGGTCCGAGCATGGCGGATGTCAATGGGACGTTCTTCCGCTACGATTCCGTCGTTCCCAACGCTACCGTCGACTGGCGACTGACTAAATACATTTCGCCAATCCAGCGCCAGTTCCAGGTGCGGTAGTGTACAAGACAGGCGTTTTCTCGGCGCTCAATTTCGCGGGACGATCCGTTTTCCTCGTTGTTCCCGCTTCATACCCGTTCTACCCCTGTACCCACCCATTCACAGTATTGAGCTGCGTCAAACCGCGCGGCGCGTCGTTCCCGCAAAATAGTCATGCTACCATCTGAGACACCAACTTGGTGAATCTTTCTTAACATGCCGTATACACCGTCTTTCCATCTATTTCGTTCCTTCAGTGCGCGAGCTGCTGGGTGATCGCAGCCGTCGATTCCATATCCATGATGTGGGCGATCACCACCAGGAGCACCCCCTTAGTGCTGTCGCCGCAGCAGGTGTGCGACTGCGCGACGAAGCAGTGCTGCCAGGGCGGCTGGCCTGACTGGGCCTACTCCTACGTGCTCTTCAACGGCGGGCTCCAATCGGTCGACGACTACAGCTATATCGCGCAGGACAACCAGCTGTGCAGCATCAACGCGTCGATCCCTAACGCCGCTCAGGTGAGCGGCGCCTTTCTCGATCGTTAGCGTCGCAATGTTTCCTGTGGATCGACTATCCGTGTCTTGTCTTCGTCGTCGTCGATTCTCCGACCTGCTGGTTAAAGTCGTTATCCTTGTATTCACCGTAACCATGTGACCTTACTCTACGCTGGACGCAGATTACCGGTTGGGAGCTCG